TAGGTTTTTTTACAATAGAGTATAGAATCTAATTCACTTCCAACAGGTTCAAAATGCATTTTATCAATCTTTAAAAACCCTTTTATTCTATTTATTTTATTCTTTTTTTCATCAGATGACAGTTTATAATGACCAAATTTAGTTTTTTTTTTTAGCCGTAAAAATCCTTGTATATGACAATCTCGCTCTTGAGAAACATTATAATTTCTTTCATATTGATAGACAATATGTGTAAAAGGACAAGTTATCTCATCTTTAAAATATGTTTGAATTAATTGATCAAATTCTTGACAATTAAAATCATACGTGCCAAAATTAACACGAAGTTGAGAAAGAGACAAAGGAGATGATAAAGACATTTCTGAGATTAGAGAGAGAAACCTTGAAACATTATTTATAATATTTTTTCAAGAAAATACACACTTTTTTTCACATTTTTTTCAACAAATTCTTTATTTTTTCTTTCAAAATTCATAAAATTTTTCGCAATTTTAATTAATAATTTTCCAAATTCGGATTTTACAAATTTAACAATTCATATATAATTATGTAAAAAATCAAGATTACACACTATGATAAAATTTTCGTAATCTTTCTCTTTTCTAAATTTTAGATGATTAACTCGTTCTAAAACTTTTATTAATAACGCAAGAGTGAGTATCATAATAAAATTTTGCACAAAATATGTTTTATTCTACCAGAAATTTTGCTGGTATTTTTCGAAAAAAAAGATCGTCCGGAGTTTGCTTTTTAAACGGTTCCATTAATTAATTTTTTTTAGAACCGTGCTCTAATTGGCTGTACTATTTAAAAATTGCCGGGTTTTACTAAAATTCGACCAATCAGAGCATGGTTCCAAAAGTGGTTCCAGTGCCGATCTTTACAGATTTTTGACCACTCACATGAGTGTCACTATATCGAAAACTGCCTTTTTGAACAACTACTAATTAAACTCAATGTAAATTTTGGTACCACCTTAATGACCATCATGCTGATGGTCTCACCGGAGTTTTGATTTTTAAAAACGGTTCTGTTCCAACTAAATTTTTAAATAAGTTTTTTGACATTATAATAGACGTATAGATATAGTTATTTTTATAATATATTGGTTCCAGGTTCCAGAGACCCAAGGTAATAGTATAAAAGAAAAATAAACGCTAGTTTATATTTTGCAATCCAAATTCTCTCGTAAACCTCTTTTATTCAATTCTTTTAAAGTCTACCTAGAAAATTTTTTGATTGGCTGTTTGAGTTGAAAAGAGGTCTCAACTTATCGAAGTTTTCTTTTGTAATTAGGCCTCTGATTTATCTTTCTCTTCTACATGATTCTTCAGCTTGGAATTCTTTTTTTAGCATTGTTAAGACTTCTTCTTTGGTTGTCTTTATGTTTTTTACCTTTTTTAATTCAAGTAAGGTTGCTTCTACTACTTGCTCCTCTAGGTCGCGGAGTAGGTTCAGAGAAGTTTTACAGCTCACCAAGTGTTCTACATTCTCCTTCTTTTTTTTACATATAATATATTTATCTGTCTTGTATGTTTCTGGCCTTCTTCGATTAAGTTTTTCGAATACCAGGAGCATATTGTTTATATACTTTGTTTCGAAGAGCTGTAATGCATTTGATTTAAAAGTATAATTTTGTTGTTTGGTCCTGTTTCTCATTATATTATACAACATGAACCAGGATTGAGTACTCTTTCTTTCTTGATGGGTTTCATCATGCATATTGTGTAAGAAAGCCCACTCTGCTTTCAATAGCACTCTTCCTATCATTTTAACGAAAGAGCGAATAGGCTTTTCAACTAATTTATTTTTCCACATATATCTTATTTTATAGCCTTTCATATATAATGCTTCTGGGTTTAGGTACTCTGTTGACTTGGCTCCTTTCTTTGTTTTCAAATCTGCAAAATTGTTAAAAATATTGCCTGAGTGACTCTTGATCTTTATAAAGTGTGTATTTAGCTTCTTTGTCTTGATCACCTCTACAATTGTTGTTACTAAATCACAATTCTTAGTTTTTAGCCAGGGTCTTATCTTGTCTGTCTCTAAGCCCCTTTTGATTGCTAATATTGCTGCTTTACTATCCGTTCATATCTCTACTCTTTTTCCCCAGGGTGTTGTTAGTAACATGAGTAGTATTGCTACTATTTTTGCTCTTGTAGATGAGAACCACCTCTTTGTCGTACAAGAAATTTGATGCAAAAGCTGACCTGATTCTGTGATGTGAATTACTCCATATCCTATTACTAACTTATCTTCAATCTCAGCAGTACCGAGTGAGCTATCTGTATAAAAAAATAAACTATCTAAATCTCTATTATGTTTTAAACTTTCTGCTATTTTATATCTAACTACATCATCATGAACTATTCTATTAACTAAAACCATTTTTCAATATTTGCACTCTATAACTATTTTACTCTTCTCCTTTATTCTTTTCAACTCATTTGCTTTAATTAGCACTTTCTCTTCCTTTTTACCAACTACTCTTCAATGTATCTTTTTTCAAAAATCAACTTTGTTTCATTTTCTGTCTTCTGAACTATGTTTGAAATGTCTCTCAGTTTTCTACACTTAACCATGTAAGTTTCGCTTTTATCAATTTCTAAAAACTGCTGCATTTCATTCTCTTGACAAAAGATTGTTTCTTTATATTTTTCAACTTCTATATCAGATGTAAGACATGTCCCCTTGGTTGTTGTTATATATAAATCAAATGAGTTGACTTACCCAAATTTATATATAAAATTTGACAA